GCGATTATTCCTCCCCAGATGCAAGACTCTACACTTGATTTTGTTAAACCTCATCTGGTTCCTTACTGCCCAGCTCTCCAGCCTGTCCAGGTCTCGCTGAATGGCAGCACAGCCTTCAGGTGTGTCAGCCAATTCTCCCAACTTCGTATCATCAGCAAACTTGCTAAGGCTATTATCCCCTCATCAAGATCATTGATGAAGATGTTGGACAAGACCAGACCCAGCACCAACCCCTGAGGAACATCACTAGTTACAGGTCTCCAAACTGGACTCTGCAATGACGACCCTCTGTGCTCTGCCAGTCAGCCAGTTCTCAACCCACCTCACTGTTCACTCATCTATCCTACAGTTCCTCAGCTTTGTTATAAGGATGTCGTGAGAGACAGTATCAAACGCCTTGCTGAAATCAAGGTAGACTACACCTATTGCTCTTCCCCCATCCACCCAGCCAGTGACAACATCATAGAAGGCCACCAGGTTGGTCAAGCACGACCTCCCCCTGGTGAACCCGTGCTGACTACTCCTGATAACCTCCTTTTCTTCCAGTTGTCTGGAGATGGCATTCAGCACAAGCTGTTCCATCACCTTTTCAGGGACAGAGGTGAGGCTGACTGGCTTGTAATTACCTGGATCTTCTTTCTTGCCCTTTTTGAAGACCGGAGTGACATTGGCTAACCCCTATTCTTCAGGCACCTCCCCCATTCTCCAAGACCTCTCAAAGATGACAGAGAGTGGTTCAGCAATCACCTCCGCCAGCTCTCTTAGCACCCATGGATGCATCCCATCAGGTCCCATGAATTTATGAGCATTGGTGTTGCCTAGGCGCTCTCAGACCGTCTCTTCCCTGACTAAAGAGAAGTCTTCCATTCCCCAGATCCTTTCACTAACCTCCAGGGTCTCGGATTCCCAAGGGAGAGCTTTTTCAGTGAAGACAGAAGCAAAGAAGGCATTCAGTATCTCCACCTTCTCAGCATCCCCCATTACCAGAACATCCCCCTCAATTAGTAGGGGAGCCACATTCTCCCTAGTCCTCCTTTTACTGTTAACATACTTTAAAAAGCCTTTTTTATTATCCTTTATCACCTTTGCCAGATTCAATTCCAGGCGGGCGTTAGCCTTCTGTGTGGCATCCCTGCAGACCCTGACAACATTTCTATATTCTTCCCAAGTGGTCAGATCCTTTTTCCACATTTCATGGACCTTCTTCTTTCCTTTGAGTTTGTGCACGAGCTCCTTGCTCATCCACACAGGACTCCTGCCACCCTTTCCTGATCTCTTGCTCACAGGGACTCACTGATTCTGAGCTTGGAAGAAGAGCCGTTTAAATGCCAACCAGCTCTCACAGGCCTCCTTACAATCTAACACCCTGGCCCACGGGATAGCTCCAGGTAGGTCCTGGAAGAGATCAAAGTTGGCTCTCCTGAAGTCCAGGGTAGCAATCCTACTTTTTGCTTTGCTTCTTCCACTCAAGATCTTGAACTCCACCATCTCGTGGTCACTACAACCCAAGCTGCCCCCGTCCTTTACTTCCTTGACAAGCCCTTCCTTATTAGTGAGAATAAGGTCGAGCAACACCCCTCTCCTCGTCGGTTGCTCCACCACCTGCATTAGAAAGTTGTCTTCAACACATTGCGGGAACCGTCTGGACCGTGCGTGCCTGGCCATGTTGCTTATCAGCAAATATCTGGATAATTGAAGTCTCCCATAAGCACCAGCGCCTGGGATCGTGACGCTACTTCCAGTTGCTTATGGAAGGCCTCATCAACCTGCTCCTCCTGATCAGGGGGCCTGTAGTACACCCCCACAGCCATACCAGCCTTCCCCTTGATTCTCACCCATAAGCTCTGCACTGCTACACCACTGTCCCCCAGGTGGAGTTCAATACATTCTAGCTGCTCCCTTACATGAAGAGCAACTCCACCACCCCGCATCGCGGGCCGACCTTTCCTAAAAAGCACATAGCCCTCCATGACAACATTCCAGTCATGCGAGCTGTCCCACCGCGTCTCCATGATTGCAGTGAGATCATAGCCATGCGACCAAACGCAGATCTCCAACTCTTCCTGTTTATTTCCCATACTGCATGCATTAGTGTACAGACACTTTAGGGAAGCAGCATCCCCCTGCCACTCTCCATCCCTTCAAACTCCACCCTCATCACCCATCAAGCTCTGTTTTGAGCCTCAAACTACCCGCTCAACCCCAGCAGCCCTCATTTTGTCCCATTCCCCTTCCTACCTAGTTTTAAAGACCTTTCAGTGAGGCCTGCCAGTTCCTGGGTGAGGATCTTTTTACCCCTTGCAGACAGGTGAGTTCCATCAGCAGCCGTCATGCCAGGAACTGTGTAAATTGCCCCATGATCAAAAAACCCCAAATTCTTGTGCCTACACCAACCTTTAAACCTAAACTCTAATTATTTACGAGGAGGGTTTTTTTTGATCCTCTCAGTGTCCTTCACCACCACTGAAAGGATTGAAGAGAAAACCACCTGCATGCCCACTCCATCAAGTACCCTCCCCAGTCCCTTGAACTTGTTTTTGATAGCCCTCAGGCTTCTCTCAGCAGCATCATCACTGCTGACCTGAACTACCAGTAAGGGATAGTAGTCAGATGGGTGAATAAGCCCAGGAAGCTTTCTAGAGATATCCCTGACCCATGCCCTAGGAAGGCAGCACACTTCTCTCCGTGGGGTCAGGCCGACATATCGGGCCCTCAGTTCCTTTTAGAAGGGAGTTACCCTTCTAAGGTATATAGAGGTATATAGCAAAATAAGGATGCTCTTATTTTGCTCCAGAGCATCAAGAAGCCGGCTACTCTGGCGATAGGTTCTATGCTTCTTAATGTCCAGGCAGTATCAACTGTACACCATTGAGATTGTTACATGGATTTCCATCAGAAAATATCTTTGCAGAATTCAAAGGACTTCATTGAAGTTATCTTACTTGGCACCGTTTTGGCCAAGCAATGGAAATGTCTTAATGTAGCAGTTCAAAACAATCTCAGCTGTTCTGCTGTTGCTCAGTTAACAGGGAAAGTAAAGGAACAGCAGTAAACACTTCCGTTACTTAAAATATTTGTGTCGGGGAGATGGGAGTTTTCTAAAGGACTTGATACATCTGGGCTCACCATGTTGAACAAAAATATATTTTCCATTTTTATGTATATGGAAATAATTAATTTCAAGCATGTAAATGATAGTTTGCCCAATTGTTGCATTTTTTTAAATCTCTTTTTCTTTATAATGTCTGAAAACTGCTTGATGAGTGTGAGGCAATCCCTGTCCTTACCTTTCGCCTTCTGTTAGTCAAGGCATGCCTAGGCCCTGTGTTAAGTTTTATGGTCCTTTGTGCTTTGATATTTTGTCTGTTTGTTCACCACTAAACAGTTAACTTTCCTTTAATAGGTGGAAAGCCTCCTGATACTTGATTAGTACGTATGATCTTTCATTTAGGAATTATTGAACCGATCTATATGGTAATGATGTTCTGTTATTTGCATTTAAATTAGATGAATTATTTATCAAGTATGTCCCTAAAGCATTGCACTGTAGGCTTAATACTTCGTGGGATTATTTTCTGTTGTTTTTCTTCTTACATCATGTATGGTTTTGATCTACAAATGAAATAATCAGAATTTATATAGCAAGTATGTTGAAATTTTTTTATCTTATAAATTAATATTTTTAAAATGTTATGTATATGTGCTTAATTCCAAAAAAAGTCTTCTAAACATTTTTCACCATATTTGCATAGGCTGGTGAAAAGGATGCTGTTTATAAGTTATTACTATTTGAAGTAATACAAGTAGTTATCTTAATCAGTATGATAATCAAGATGTTTACTTGTTACCATCTGCTATTGAAATATTTGGGTTCAACCCAAGGACTAAGAAGTTATAAAATACTAGAATAACTAAATGAGCACATTACTTGCAAGTCGCTTTCTTCAGTATTCTTTTGTTTATTTATATTCCAGTTTTGCCTTTCCTATATCTCAGTATACATACACATTCTTAATTTTAAAAAACGATTGTGCTTCATTCTGTTGAAATTCAGCTATCTACAGATGCACATTAAACTTTTAAAAGCACAAACATTTTTTTTGCTCTGAAAATTATTGACATCTTTAAAACCATTTTCATATAATTTCATAAAAAAATTAATTTTAACAAGTAATTCTGACTGGTTCAGAAATATGATGGCTTCCAGTGCCCACAAGATTTCAGCTTCATATCTCTTGGAAATGAAGTCTACTTCACTAGAGTTTTTAGGTTTTTTGCCTTTGAATGAAAAAAAAGGATTACTGTTGCTATTAGGTGTTGCTCCAGTGCCCTGCTGAGTTACTACACGCTGCTGTTCAGCAGAGCAAGGCACACTCAGTTGCTGATGAAAAACAACTGAATCGGCATCTTTATCAGCCACATCTGTATGAGTGTATCTTCATGAGTGGCCTGGAGTGTATGTTGGGCACCTTGGCCTGACTCTGAGTTCTATCTGTTTCTTATTTTTTTGTTTTGGGCGAAATTTTTGTTTTTCCCCTTTTCAAGTGTATTTCAAGTCAGAATACGTAGGACAGATTTGGTGCCTGTCAAGCTTAATCGTATCTATTTGTAATCTCATTATGTGTATCCTGCTAAGCTATGCCCACTCTAGTGAATTCAGCACTGAAATGAAAGGGTAGTTGTGCCTACTTAACTTTGAGTTGCCTGAGAGATGTGTAAAAATCTATTAAATATATATATACATATATATATAAAGAGAAAATTTTCCCCTTGAAAATGCTGTTCTTCTGGTAGTGAAGTTCATTGCACGTTTCTGTGAAAGAAGCTGCTTCTGGCCTGTTTCAATTGAAAGATGCTGAATTAGTTATGCAATGTATATTATGGGAATTTTTGTATTAGGAAGGCTGTTCTCAAAACTGAATTTTCTTCCAAAAACCACAAATTTTTAAAAAGAAACAATGTGATGTGTAAAGTAAGCAACAGTTAATTTTATTTTGTAGGCTGGAAAAATGTGTAGAAGCTAAAGAAGAACTAGAGGCAGATCTTTATAATCGGTTTGTTTTGGTGCTGAATGAAAAGAAGACGAAGATAAGAAACTTGCAGAAATTGTTGAATGAAGCTAAAGAATTGGCAGTGGATACCCAATGTACAAGGTATCTCCTGATTTCCCTGAGACACTTGGTGTCACATCTGACACATGTTTTGGTTCTGTTACTTTAGCCATAGCATTGAGTGATAGTTCTTTCTGGAAAAGTTCTTGGTTATGCAAAACAGTAATGTTACTCATGAGAGCAGAGGATTCTTTGGAGACATTGCAACTAGCAATATATTGTTTTGGACTCTGTAGCAAATAAATAAATATTAATTGAATCTCTCCTCTACAATATTCTATTAAGGTGCAGTTGATTTTTCCAAACATAGTGCCATTTCTGTAGGTAATATTTTTGTATGCTTTCTTCTCCAATTATTTGATTCTTTTTTTTTCTTTGGGAAACAAAATCATCTAAATCTCCACGTTTTTATGTGCTTTTAATTTTAAAAGTAGACTAAGAATGTTTCTTATGCTACAACATGCTTCTGTTTGTTTACCATTTTTATGTAGCTTTGTTTTCTATCTGCCTTTCTAATCTGTCCTTCAACCTGATCATTCTAGGCGTATTAAACATAACTCTTGGGACTCCATGTTGAGTTGTATCAGCTTGCATTGTCTCTAAGACAGTGCAGAAAAGATCATAATTTTTCTCAGAGATAGTAGAGTGAAATATGAGCTTTTTTTCTGTTTCCTCTCTTCCTAGGGATAGTATAGCTACAACACAGATGGCAACAGAGAAAGAAGATGACTATGATGGCAGCACTGAGGAGGAAAGTGAAAATTTAATACAGTCCTCATTACCATCAGGTAAGGCAGAATGTACTGTACTGTCTTTGGGGAATATAATGGGGAGGACAATCATTTCATAAAAATAAACCTTAATGAAGACAAAATACTACCTGACAAGCTACTCAATGACAAGCCAACCTGTAAGCCTTAAAAATATCTCTCTTTGAGAAGAGTATAATACTGGCATATTCAAATTAAAGAGAGGAAGTTTAAATGAATATTGCATGAGTGAAAGTGCTGTCTTTTCTTCCAAAATGACAAATTACATACTTTGCAGAACTAATTGCAGTCTAATAGTACCTGAACTATCAACAGTTTAATTTTAAATTCTAGGAATCTTGATGCATGTCCGGTAACTGCTAAAATGTAAAATGAAGTTCCTGACAGTTTCAGCAATGTGTAAAAAGGGGAAAGAGAAGAGGTTTAACTGCAATTAAATAAATAAATAAATAAAAGCTGTGCACTCATTTTGCATCATAAAATGGAAGAAAATGTATTTATAGCAGAATTAATTTTAACTCACCTATGAATCTTTGTCCTTGTTAAGGTGCTCATAAAATTCAGTTTGACTGAATTTTCTCGTACTGGTAAAGTACGTGGGACACAACAATAGCCCACGCTACAGTATAAGATATTTATACATGAATCAGAAGAAATTTTTGGCAAAGTAGTAAGAATCTGCAAGATGAATGCTATCAGTGTTCTAAAACTTCAGTAGCACTTGCCATATAGATATGATAAACCTCTTCTCAGATCTAATAGGTTCTCCTTCTGGTGCTTTCTATTTCTACTATAGATGAAGGTAATTAAGAACAATAAACAACTGTTTAGTGTGCAGTTGAGAAGCGGAAATGGCCAAGGCCCTGACAGAAGTGGTATTAGAATTTGTAAATCGTGTTTGTTTGTTGAGGACTTTCTAATCTAATATAAAGCAGGCAGAGCTTCAGACAAATGCAGAAAATAAACAAAGAATCTGCAGCTATGGAAATAAATGATTTTGTATTGACATGTGATCTCTAGTTCAGAAAACATTTATTTCAAGTAATTTTTGGTAAGCTCAGATAACACCAAGAGCAATACTTCCTACTTAGAGAAAACACAAGGGAAGTTAAAAAAAAAAAACTGATTCTTTTGAGAGTTTCCACAGGACTTAACTAGCTCAGGGTATAAGGCTAAAGGCTATTTCTTAGCTTCTAGTACATTTTTACTGGAATGTTTGGAGGACTTAAGAGATGCCCGGTGATTTGGAAAAGAAGCCGCCAATACTGAACAAAAGAAAAAGTAAATTAAATGATATATTCAATTATGGGTGTATGACTCAGATGTTGGTCTGAGGCAAATGTCAGAGCAGGTCTTAATGAAGAAAAATATCAAGAAAAAGAATAAAAATGGTTAGTTCCAATCTTTGTGCAGGTGCAGAAACTGGTGAATGCAAGCTAGATACTTGTTCTGTAATGAGATTACCAACAGGGTGAAGAAGATAAAAAGAGAAAATAATGGATTTTTACTTATGTAAGATGCCATTCTGCCCCATATTTTGTTCAAGAAACTGGAATGTGGAAATTAACTTAGTAGATGGAATATAGATTCTCAAACAAGGTAATATGTCTATCTGAAAATACAAATGGAAAATTATCATTCTTATCTATAAATTATGAAGCAGCTAGAAATGGTGTGCCAGGGCCTTGTAAATGGCTATGAACTTCTGTTGTAGAGAGTTTCTCTTCTAGAAGAAGGACAGGAAGGAAATCTTCCTGCTGTTGGGGAGTTCTTCAGAAATAGGGACGTTTGGATGTTTCCTGGGGCTGGGTAGAGGTTGTTTTCATTTTGTTTTTTAAAGTTTGGTAAGATAAGAACTGGGCCATGGAAAACTGTGACACGGTTGTTGCTTTAACTATTGATAGTTCAGTTCCAGTAACTTCATAGGTTCCTCTCATTTGGTACTAGCGATGTGCTCTTTAGCACCATCTCATTTGTTTTGCTCCTCCCTCACATGTTGCTTCCAGGCTTGTACTTCAGCTCCTTAATCAAAGGTCTGATATTTTGTTTAGCTTGATAAGTGTCTGGTGTTTTAGGGTCATCATTCTTGTTTGGGTCCTATGAAAGTAGAAAGAATTATATACACAGAGATGAGAAGCATCTGGAACAAGCTTGAAAAGATTACAGAAAGATATTGATTGGGGTAAGACTTGGAAAGACATTCAGTTCTTTTCATATTCCTTTGTTAAGTATCTTTTTAAAACTAAAAATAAAAAAATAAAAATAATAATTAAAAAAAAAAAAAGCTGAAAATTGTCAGTCTTTTTGACCTCTCTATTTCTGTTAGCCCACAAGACTGATGTGGTGACTCAGTTAGCATGAAGCCACACACTGAGGCAGGAAGTTTCTGTTGCTGCGTGACGCAGAAACACTTACTGTAATTAAGGACAGCCCAGAGCACAGACCAGCTGTGGTCTCAGTTCATCATATCTATTTCTCTTTCAATGATAATTTTTATTCTTATTTGGTCTAGCTCTGAGTATTTTCTCCTAGAAGGCTTAAAAAGACAGTAAGACTATCAGACTGAGAAAACAACATTTGATGTGATGACTAGCAATCATGTCTATGTTAGACAAATGAAGTCTCCTTTTGTTAACTGTGAAAAAATACTTCAGTGCTCCGTATGGCAGGAAGATTTTAAAACAGAAACAAGTATTAAGTACCGTCTCTCCTTACTTCCAAGGAAACTGAAATGTAGACTAGGGCTAAAAGCTTTCCTTTTCACAGGGTTTGGAAGATCACCTGAGAAAGGATGATTATTCCTTTATCTAGGAATGTGATGAAATTGTGGGGATAGATGTTATATACTGTACTCTACATAGATGTGAATGATAATGTATCAGGTAGAAGATAACCAATAAAAAAACTATTTTGTAGTTGATTGCTCTTATCTTCAGTTATCATGCTATTATCTGTGGCTGTCTAAATGAGGCTACTGGGCACCAATCTACAGTCAGCTTGCTTTCTCTCTTTTTAATTTTCTCTTCTCCATGAAATCCTTAGTCATATTTCATATTGAAATTGGTGGAAGTTATTGCTCCTTAGGATTCAGAAGAACCTCATGGTCCTTGCTGGTTTGAATAAAATTTTTATGTTCTGTGCCTGCTGCCATCTACGTGGAAATGTTCTATATCATGTGAATTCTAGAACTTGCAATACTCAGACATTTCTGAATGTTTCCTTATGGGGACCAAATTAGTTCTAATAAGCTCTCTGCCTAAAATAAATAAGAGTAAGTACCTTTCCATTTTTCACTTTTTAATATGCACATGTTCTCCTTCATTTACGGTCTTGATTAAGGATTAAATGTTTTGCCTTCAGGAGGCTATGGCCATTTAAGTTTAATTAGTTCTCTTGTGTAGTCCAAACCACCAATAGCTTGATGCTGCTGGTTAATAAGCTTTGATCAAAGTTATTTTTAAAAATGCCTACTATAGCAGCACCCAACTGTGCTGTGTGGTTGAAGTTCCATCTGTCAAAGCTTCCCCTTTAAAGCCTATTTTAAGGAGTTTTAGAACTTGGCCATTTTAATTGACTCCGGGCTTAAATTATTATTTTAATTTTTTTTTTTTTCAAGCTATAATTGGAAATGGCTAGTCTGAAAGAATAATCTCATTTCCCTTTCCCTTAAAGCACTGCTCCAGATCCACTTTTTTTCCATAACCTGATGTTTTTATGCATGCAAGATGTCTATGCTTGTCCAGCGGCTTCTCATCCATGTTATACCAGATATCCTGGTCAAAATACTGTCAAAGTAAAAATGGCAATATTCTATGTCTCTTTAAAAAATCTGTTACAAATATTATGCTGAGAGATATATCCTTTATAAGGTATATATCTTATATACCTTAATATATCCATTATTAAGGTTTTACTTTAAAATATCACTCTGAAAATTATCAAAACTGTATACAGCTATGCTTCTTAGTATACATGTGTCAGTACATGAAGTAACATAGATGAATGTGGTTGCCTTTGAATGAATCAATATTTATTCAGGGGAGGGTATAGAATCACAATGATATAATATTAATGGATTTATGCCTTGAGAATACTACTGTGAATTACTTTTTCATGACTGATCAAACAAGTAGAGTCACCACACTGTAGGTTAGAAGCAATGGCATTATCTAGTATCAAGAATAAAAACTTTTTTTTTTTTTTTAACTTGTGCATTGTCAACATACTACTTAATGTTAAGCATAAAGGAACTCCGTTTCTTTGGTGGGCTGTGAATTTTTAATGTGTAATCAAGGTTCTGTTCAAATCATTGCCACTTTAAGTGTCAGATTCAAGTTTAATTGTAAGGTGAATTTTAGAATCATTACAGATTTGGAGTCCAAGTATAGTGCACTTTCTATGCATACTGCTGTATTTTGTCTCCCCACATAATAATAAAGGCAGTTTAGATAGTACAATATTATAAATTTGGAGCTGGGTGGAATTACTGTATGCTTTTACTTTGCGTTTTATATATCCCTGCACACATTAACAAATAACTTGAAGTTCCAATCATTTTAAAACACCTCAATTAATGAAGCTGTATTTTTATTAGTTTTATGTTCTTCCATGAATAAATAGGTTTTCCACTTAAGGAAGTAAGCCAGCTTTATGTTTGTATCCAGCTTGCTAGAGTTCTAGTGTTCCTTCTGGTTATCTTGAAACTTTGTTTTTATTTAGCTGTGACTTGAGAGCCTAAACTACTAAACTGCGTTAGAAAAAATAAAAAAAAAAAAACTGAGGCAGTGATATAAATGCTTGCTGTATCTGTGTGAGTACTGATGTGTTCCTATGGGACAGGTAAAGGCAAGGTCGAGCCTCCTTCTGTTCTTGCTCATATTTCACACTGATCTGACGTGTACCAAACAGGCTGCAATTAGAGAAGAGCTGAACAGAAATGCTGTGACTGGATGTACTTTTTCACTGGACATGCACATTCTGATACCGGTTTCCTTTGCAAAATCCTGTCACTTGACCAT